CGTCCAAGCTTCTTCGTCAGCAGCACAATTCAAATGCATCCGTTTTCCTATGCTCCTCAGTACAGTCCCTCCCACAAATGCTGACAATGTACTAGGTAACATCACTTGCAATTTTCAGGTATTAAGGAAATGTCTTCCAGGAAGCCATGCATCCTAGCCTGAGAACACGAGTCACTGAAAGTCCCGAGAATAAGCTCAAGCACACAGCAGGGGTGGGCGGGCGTCGGGGCCTTGCGTGGGTCAGCAGATGTGAACAACGCATGATGCACTGTGACTGCTGGGGGTGGGACCAGGGCCCATAAGTGAGTTAACATATACGAAGGATGCAGGACACTTGATGAAATGTGACTGCCAAGGTGGGGCGGGGTCAGGGCCCATAAGTCGGTTAGCATACTCCCGCGACACTGGCCACAGGACACTGGCCACTGCTACTGCCGACATCTGCGGAAGGACACGAGAGTCCACTCCTGCTGCGGGCTGGGATAGAAGCTGCCTGGCCGTCCCCTGGGAGCTTTAGAAGCAGAGCACATTCCGTCACAGGCAGCCTATTTCTTGACCTCAAAGCCATCGCTTCCCTTCAACCAGCCCACCTGCCCTTACCCCAGTCCACCCTCCATGACAGAGGAAACCTGCAGCCCCAGGCTCTGTGTCCAGCCTGGGCTGGGAACACGAGAGCTCCCCTCTCCTTCCCTCAGCATCTGTGCCTGGTCCCATGCCTGAAAACCACGTTCCTCAACCAGTGCATTTCTTGTTATTGTTCCACGAAATGCCACAACATGAAGAGTTTGTATCTCATGTTCAACAAACCATGCTCACTGCTGTGGAGTTGTCTCCTACAGCGGCCCTGCAGGACAGGGTGGAGCTGCCCAACTCTTTACGGAAGCAGAAAGCCTCGTCTTTCTCCCTCGTATGGCTGGTGGTTTTCAACCGCTGACCTCAAGGTAGCAGCCCAAGAGATGACCACTGCGCCACCCGGGCTCCTCCACAAACTCAGTCACTGCCACTCAGGGGAGGGTGGAGCTGCCCCCGGGGGGTACTGAGATGGTAACTTCACCGACGTAGAAAGCCCCATCTTTCTTCTGCAGAGAAGCTGGTGTTTCGAACCGCAGACCTAAAGATTAGCAGCCCAACACATAACCGTGATGCCACCAGGGCTGCTCCTCCACCATTATTCTACTGAGAAGAGGGATTCTCTCTGTAATCTGGAGAACTCAGGAAGTAAAGTGTGAGGTGATGGTACACATGGTGTGGGGGCAGCATCTGACCGCCTCTGACTTCGTTAGCGGGACAGACAAACTCCACAGCAGCCAATGGCCAAGTCTGCTGAGGCTGCCGTCACAGGTGCTTCCCCTCCCCTCTCTTTACCAGCTGATGCCAACGGTCCCTCGGGCAGCTCTCTCTGCTTCTCGACTGTGTTCCATCCTGCTGCCTTGGCCACACAGAGCTCACAGACCTGGCCTGTGAGTGTGGGGTTTATCAGGGAGATGAACCAGCTACTGTCGGGACCAGAAGGGCTCAGGTCACAGTTCTTCAGTCCGGGCAGCCTCTTCTCGGCTGTGCCCGCAGGCAGGCCTGCCACTGCTCCTCAGTCCCTTGGCTACTCATCCCCGCGGCCTCGGCCCTGCTCAGGCTGAGCCACCAAGCTTGGTGAGCACTGCCAGCAGAAGCTCCAGATAGTGCTCAGCTCTATCTGCACAGGCCCCGGAGAGACCCAGCTCTGTAAGAAGGCTCCTACCCAAAGGCACTCAGTTGCCCTGCTCTGTGCTGGGGAGCCACCCGTCTGCTGCCTGTGTGCGTGCCACGTCTCTGTCCCCAGGGCCACAGCTCTCTGGGTTCTGGGTCACAGAGAACTTCAGTGTGGGGGGACTAGGGGTCCCAATGCCTTGCCCCACTCTGGGGCTGCTCTCTTGATGGTATTGAGATGGGATCTCTCAGCTTCTGAGATGCACATGTTGAGCCTGGCAGGGAGGCAGGACTGGCTCCTATGAGATTCCCCACCCATACTGGTGGGTTAGGCGTTGGACTGCCAACTGCAAGGTCAGCAGTTTGAAATCACCGGCTGTTCCTCACAAGAAAGAGGATGATTTCTGCTCCCAGGAGGAGTGATAATCTTGGACGCCAGCAATGGCAGTGCCATGGCCTCCTGTAGGATTGCCAGGAATAAGAGCGGACTCGATGGCAGTGTGTTTTGTGTTGGCATGGACGACTCCACAAGGGGCCAGGTACCTTCCTGATGGTATTAGAAAACTTTCTAGGCCCCCCAGTGGGCCACAAACACCTCACTTTGCATAGACCTAGCCAGTCGGATGGGTGGCTACTGGTGGCTTGTTGACAATGAAAGGCTTGGACTGTGCGGATCATGTGGAGTCATGAGCATGGAGAACAATGGGGTCCCAGAACACTCTCCCGGGTTCATGCAGAAATGGTACCTACACCAGGAGGCAGTTGGTCAAACAGAACAAGGGAACAGGTATGGCTTAAAGTCAGGAGAGGTGTGTGTCAGGGTTGCATCCTCTCGCCAAACTGATTCCATCTGTATGCTGAGCTGGATTCTAGGAAGAAGACTGCGGCATCAGGATTGGGGAAGGCTCCTGAGCAACTTGCGATGTGCCTTGCCCTTGAAAGAGGACTTGCGGCTCTTGCTGGTGAAGATCAGGGACTGCAGCCTTAAGAAGTCAGACTACACATTGCCTTGGGTGCATTGTGGCACAAGACATCCTTAAAGAGCAAGGGTGTCACTTGAGGACCACAGAGTGCCGAGTCCAGCCGTGGTCTGTTTTAGTAGCCTCCTAGGCCTGTGGGGTTGGACAGTGATGAAAGAATACTGCAGAAGGGCCAATGGGTGAGATGTAGGTGCTTGCCAAGGATACTGAGATGTCCACTGGCGCCAGGAAGAACAAGCAAACAAGTGAGTGTGGGAAGAGGAACAGCCAGCACACCCCTTGGAGGGTGTGAAACTTGTCCCTAGAGAAGGATACCATGCTTGGTAGAGTCAGCAAGGACCAAATGGACACCATGCTGCAACAGTAACAACAATTTGGGGAACAGGGCAGGACTTGTGGTATACGGTCAGGACAGGGAGAGACACAGGTCTCAGAACCATCAACCAGAGTCAACAGGGAGAGAGACATGTATCAGAACTATCAACCACAGTCAACAGGGAGAGACACACATCAGAAACATCAACCAGAGTCAACAGGGAGAGAGGCTTGTGTCAGAACCATCAACCATAGTCAACAGAGAGACATGTATCAGAACTATCAACCACAGTCAACAGGGAGATACACATGTCAGAACCATCAACCATAGTCAATGGAGAGACACATGTCAGAACCATCAACTACAGTCAATGGAGAGACACGTGTCAGAACCATCGACCACAGTCAACAGGGCAGCGTGTACCCCGGGGGGGAAGCTCAGGAACAGAGAAGGAGGAGGGATGAAACAGGAAATGGGGAGGAAGTAGGGAGAGGGCTGTAACATGGTGGAGACTGTGACCTCGATTGTGGATCAAAACACAAGTGAACTGTTGCTGGGAAACCTGTTTGCTCTGCAATCTTTCTCCGAAATGAACCAAGGAAGGGGTGAACACATGAACGAACAAACCAATAAACAAGGGCTCACAACCATAATCATGGGAGATGAATCAAAGGAGAGAGGGCTCAGAGAGTTTCCGAATGAGGAGGGCAGGCACCCACACGGGTCACTCAGATCTCAGGGCCTGGCTGGCCCAGGTGTAAAGCCTCTTTCTGAGCCCCTTCCAGGCCTCAGCCCAGGCTCTCCTGGAACCTGCAAGTTATCTCAGGCTGCATGTGTGGTGTATTAGTCTAGGTACTTTGGAGAAACAAATCCACAGCAACTCATGTATAAGAGAGAGTTTTATGCAAAGAAAATGTGCATCACGAAAACATCCCAACCCAATGCTGCCCAAGCCCACAAGTCCAACATTAACCCATTAACCCAACACCAGTCCACAAAGTCCTCCACCTCACAAAACAGAGGCAATGATGCCGACTGCAGGAGGAAAGCTGAGTCAGTAAACGAATAAGCATCTCAGCACTAGCAGGGGTCTCCATAAGGCTGTTCCAGCACCCAGGGCTGCATCGGGATAGGTCCATGCGGCTTCTCCTTGGGGATGTCTTGTAGGATGTCAATCTTGCAAGCTGAAGCAGGAAGCTGCTAAGGCAGCTGCATCCTGGTGCGACCATCACAAAGCAAGAGACCCGAGAACTAGAAAGGCGAGGCTTCACCACCCATTTATCCCTCCGCCTTTCAACCAGCACCACATGTGATTATCGGCCAGGCTGGCACAATTAACTAACTCATGTGGGTTTCATTCAAGAAAGAAAAACACCCCCTGCGTCCCACCAGGACATGAAGAGGGCGTCAGAAGTCTCTCCACAGCGCCCAGGGTGGTGTTTAAGGGTATGCCTGCACCCCAGGGCCTCAGATGGCTTTTTAATGCTTTTTAACAAGAACACTGGGGCACAGCATGTAGTGACCCCACAACGGCAGACACCCCCTGCCCTCACACCGATGCCCCTCCCAGCCAGTGGACCAGACATGTATGACTGCCCATGGGCCACAGACCCACTTCAGAGCAGCAGGTGGTCGCATCTGTTCCCCATGTAGCCGCTGCTGGGTTCAAACTGCATCCTGGCACTTCACCCCCTGCACCAGCAGGGTGCCGTCAGATGAGGAGACCATGGCACCTTCGTGCAAAGAGGCCGGCCACATCCCACTCCCCTGCCACCGCCAGTCTGTCTCCATGCGCATGCTGCTGACGGCACACCCTCTCTTCCCAGGGAAGGTCCCACAGATCTCCTAACCGTTCCTCACCCTCAACATCAGGAGCAGCAGGGGAGCATCTCCAGGTGCTGTTCAAGTGCAGGCCAGCAGCCCCAACACCTCCAGGTGCCATAAAGGTGCAAGCCAGCAGCCCCGCCCCCCTGCCCCTGCCCCACAGGAAACAAGCCACGGTGGCGGCGACCAGCACCCACCTGCCAGACCAGGTGTTCCTGGGCCTCGGGCTTGGTAGCCAGGCAGGCGCTGAGCACGACCGTGTGGGAGGCAGAGGTGAGAGCGCTGGCAATGATGGCGTCACGCATGTTGAAGGGCAGCATGGTGTAGACAACGAAGACGATGAAGAGGAAGAAAGACACCTGCAGAGAGAAGAGCAGCCGTCAGGTCAGCTGAGGATGGCCCTCCCGCAGGCCATCTCGTGCCAGCACCGGCAGTCCTGCAAGCCCCTTGGATTACCCCACAGGATGTAGCACAGGCCCCTCAGGGTTCCTGAGCTGCATCTGGGTCCCCAACACAGTCAGTGTTGCAGGGCAGCCACACAGAATTGTGGGTATAAAGTTAGGCCTACAGGATTTGGTTGTTTCCTGTAGACAACCTGTAGGTTAGACCTGCTGGTGTTGCTATCCACGGGGTCAGTGGTTCGAACCACCAGCTGGTCCTCGGGAAGGAGATGAGGCTGCCTGCCTCTGTACAGATTGACAGTCCCCAAAGCCCTGTGGGTCCCCCTGCTCCATCCTAGAGCGTCCCACCAGTCGGGTCGCCTGGGCGGCAGTGAGTCTGGGAGGCTGTTGGGTGCACAGATGTCTGAGAATGACCCCAGTGTGCGGGCACAGGGAACCAGAGGGGTGCATGCGGTTGGGAGGAGGGTGTCTGCAGGCCTCCTGGACGCAGGGCCGCTCCGACCTCCAACCTGTGAAGCACCACGTCTGTGGACTGCAGTACAATGAATGAGGCCACCTGGCCTGTGAGCCTGACCAGATGCCCTGCCAGCCAGCAGGCCCACCTACAGGGCAGAACTACCCCTGGGCTTCCTAGGCTATAAACCTCCTGCTGCTACCAGGCCCAAAGCTGGGGGTCCCACGGTCAGAAGATGTGAATGGTCAATGGCAGAGATCAGGAGGAACACTGAGGCCCCCAACCATGTCCCCTGAGAGGGGTCGGTGAGCCCAGGGCATGGGGAACTGGCAAGGTCGGCCATGTCTTCCAGTCACCCACCAGCTCCCACCGGTGACCAGACCAGGACGTGGCTCTCAGGGACCAGCTTGGGCCCCAGCCTGCTCACCACAGCTTCCCTGGTGGCTTTGGGGAACAAACACGCTTTGTCTCACATGCCTGAGGCTGGAAGCCCGAGTTAGTGCAAATCCACCGGTGACCAAGGGTCTTTCTCCCCTTCATGGAGACTCAGCAGCACCCGCCCCAGCCACCCCCGGGCTGGCACGTCCATTGCGGGGAGTCTACTGTGGAGAGGTTTCTTTTACATTTTCGATCCAGCCCCATTTCTACCAAATACGGAGAAAGGGCCAGAGCGCAGGCTCCCTGAGCCCCTTCTGCTGCCATGCCCCACTGGCCCCACTGGCCACTGAGCCAACAGGACTAATTCCAGATTGGAACCCCGTTTTCAGACTGTGCAAAAGCCTCCTTAGAAACTCTTGGAAATTAATGTGCCAGCATTCCAAACCCGCTTTAGGACCAGAACTCAAGCTGCAGCCGGGGCACCAGCTGACGCTCAGAAAGGAGCGCTCCTTTCCCCAGAGACGCTTCTTCAGCCAAGAAGACACTTGTGAGTGTCCGCTCTCTGGACACGGGAGGGTTTCTCTACATGGTCTGTCGTTGGCAACAGAACCGACTCTTCTTTGACGGACAGCCTGCCTTCAACCAGGAGTGATGGGGCCATGAGTCACTGCGAGACTCTCCTCTCCCGAAA